AGAGAGAGAGAGAGAGAGAGAGAGAGAGAGAGAGAGAGAGAGAGAGAGAGAGAGAGAGAGAGAGAGAGAGAAAGAGAGAGAGAGGTGGCAGGGCATCGAAGTGGCAGTGCATTGACATCTCAGGTAAGGAAGAAAAATACACAAGAATGCTCTTTTGTATCACCGATTCACTGGGTGTGGTACTGTGTGGGCTGGGTGCAGGCTGGCTGTGGTACTTAGCCGGCCCGCAAAATGGCAATAAGTGGGCTCCATGCAATAGTAAGTGGGCTGGGTGTGATGATACTAGGTGGGCTGGGTGAAATGATGATAAGGGTGCTGGGAGTGATGGCACCAAATGAGCTGCATCTAGTACGGAGTGGGTCAAGCAACACTGATACTAAGCGGCCTGGGTGCAATGGCACTTAAACTGAGCTGGGTGCAGTCCTAAGTGCCCTGGGTGCAATGGTACCAAGCGGGCTTGGCAAAATGGCACTTTATGCGGCGGGTACCATGGCATCAAGTGGGCTTGATCGAAACTAAGAGGACCCAGTCTGGGCCCAGCCGCTACAGACCCGGTAGACGGGTGTCACATTGGGACAGTGGGACGCGCTTATTCCTCTGAATAACGGAGTGCAGATCTAGATGCGAACATTTCTGGAAACTTCACTCTTCTTCAGGACCCTGGCATCAACTTTCTTGTTTTGGAAATATACTGTTTCTGTTGCAATAAAAAAAAAAAAAAGAAACTGACCTCTTTGTGCTGCTTCAACATAATCAAAGGCTTAGGCAGAAGCATCCATGGCACCGCAACCATTGCAATCAGCAGCAATATAATCTGTCACACAGTCACAAGGTCGAAAGAGAATCTCCGGTTAGTCACAGAAAGGCACAGTTTTATTATGATTTATGGAGTAAAAATCAAAAAGCTCAGTTTCAATGAGTAATACCACAATTTTCGGTAATAAAATTGATGGTTTGTTCAAAAAAGAAAAAGGCACAATTATTATGGCGTAAACATCAAAAATACAAAAAAGAGGATCCGGCAACGAGATAGAGCAGTGCACATTTGAAACATAGATTCCTTCCTTCCAGGCTTTGCTAGTACACAATAGTCATTGCTATAGATATAGCGCCTCGCAGCAAGACTCTCCCGAGTGTGAATGGCGAGTGTATCTGTGCATGTTCTAGTGGAAAATTCATTCTCCTTTCACATTAGGACAGAGGTGCAGCAAGGCCCATTGCAAGGAAGATGAGCAATAGCGAATTCCAGAACTCAAACAGCATCATACATGAGTGACCAAATAGCCATGACCTCGAACCATAAGCAGAATGGCATCACGAGTTATACCAAATAAGAACACAGCAATAGTTCATAATTGACAATGCTGAAATTGTCTCTCATCATCATCAACGAAGAACAAGAGTTGGTATCCTATTGGCGCTCGGCGCCCAGACTACAAGATGGCAGTTCCTATCTAGCCTACTACTACAATGCCGAGGTTGACGTCAACAGCTTCACCGAAGTACGAGCATATGCGGCCAATGCCGCTCGTCTCAAGCACTAGGTATGACTCCCGCTTCGCTCTCAACCCCGATCCTCACCACACAAACCTCTAGCACCCAAGGACCAACCTGCGCCCAACCCAGCTTACAGCAGGCAGCGTGGCTATGGCTGCCTGCTTCTTCCACACTCGCCCGTGAGTGCGAGGGCGCCAGCCAGCAAAATAGCGCAGCAGCGCTGTCGCCGTATGCAGCCAGCACCCGAATGACAAATGAGGAGGCTGGCCCTTGCCTATATCCCCGTGGCCTGCCTGCGTCCAGTCCAAGAAGCTTCCAGTAGGCCCCGGTAGCCTGAGGCCCAGTCACGAGGAATGCAGGCGTTGGGCCTGAAGTAGTTGCATGTGCCCAACTGCTCTCGGCCTGTGCTTGGCCCGGTACCCGTACCCAGCCCAGGGCCTGCTTTACATTCATTCACACGGGCGGCCCAGGGCCTGAGTTCATTCAACCAACTGATGCTGTGCAACTGCCTGAATTTCCCCATTTGCGGGGGTACCCTGAAAATGAGGCCCTGAGGGCCTGTCGTGCCTGCCTTCACTTAGGACGGCCGACCTTGTTGCAAATAAGGCCCGTAGGGCTAAGCGGGCATAGCCTCGCATTCCCTCCTCCATATCTTCGTTAGTCCTCTGAGAAGATCAGTCTGCCGCCAGCCGGCGCTTTCCTTTCAAAACATCCCTCTCATAGCGGGCAACGATCTGAGGGGCGGTCTGCATGAATTCTTCCCGAGTAAACCAGCGGTCCTTCTTCGGATCTGTATGATGTCTGAAGTGAACACGGAACTGCAGCTTTGGCTTGGGAGGACGTCCTCTTCCTGGAGGCTTCTGAACGGGTATCTCTCTGTGGTCGACGATATCATCGATGTCGACTTCTCCATCCATGGTTGGGGGCAACATAGAACGGCGAGTAGGAAACTGGTCGGTCTGCTTAAAAGCAGCGAGCTTGGAGGCGTGAAATACAGGGTAGGTGCGCAGGTGATACGGATGACATAGGATGGCCCATCTGGATCTGTCCCAACTATGTCCAAGACCTCCCAAGGCCCAAAGTACTGAGGCATGAGTTTGCGAGATATCCCAAACTCTTGTCCAAGTTCAGAGGACTTGACCCAGACTCTGTCCCCAACCTGAAATGCAGAAGGGCGGCGATGTTTATTTTCGGACTCAATCATTGCAGACTGTGCCTTCTGCATGTGTTCTACAGCCTCCTGCATCTTCTGCTCATAACGATAGGCAAACTCTAGAGTGCC